GACACCTGGACATAGTCTGCTACTTCTTGTCTCCTTTGACGAATGGAGAGGAACTTGAAAGAATCCGGTTTTCCGTTTGAAAATTAGGAAGTGCGAACACTCGCAGCTATTGTCGAGTCAAATTTTCCCATGCTGGAACGCCTCTCTACCCACCGAGGTACTGTGCGCGGTCCTCCAGATTTAAGACCGTAGCGCGACGAACCGTTGCTCCGCTTGAAGCGTGGTCGATTTTATGACTGTTTCAACTTTTCTCGTCCCGAGGGAAGTGATTTCTCAATCCCGACTAATGACTTAGATGCTCAAAGTTATAGAGACACAGTGGGTGCTATTGGTTACGGCGCTTGGGTGTGGCGCTTCTCGATGTGTGTAAGTTATAAAATACCTGCATTGTACACAAACCAACTTGTTGTGAACGGTAAAAATATTTTTCCAAGTCGAAAGACGGTAGGTAAAGCATATAATACAGTGCAGTGGCTATTAAACATGTTTGCAACTAAGAAAACGCTGGCGCAAAGCATGAAGAACTGTCTTACAGCGAAAATGGTAAGATAAGCTGGACCGAACACTATCTATACCTCGTGACAGTTTGACATATAAGGCACGGATGACCTTAACTTAGATAGCATTGTTGGACTATGCGGCCGAAAAATGAGAGTTGTGCAGTCTAGGCTAAATTGGTGCGAGCGGGCTATGTTCGACAAGCGATGTAAGAGACAAGAGGCAAGAAAGAGGCGTCGTGAATGTGGTGCAAGGGTATCCGAGGATCGCATGCCATTTCTTCGAATTCGAGAAGGCGGTTGCAGCGGGGCTGCTGTAGCGTTACGCGTAGAGGAAGCGTAATTTAGGTCACCGACCTTTCGTTTCATACTTAGAGCAAGTACGAGTTAGCCGATCGCAATCCGGTGACTCGAGAGTAATTGTTGCCTTAACCCAAGGCTAATTACTCTTCCGTTTAAAATTCAAAATTGATTTTTATTTATTTTTATCTGCGGCAAAGCCACCAAATTTTAAATGCATAGATTTTCCTAAATATATATAGTAAAATTTAAATACATGCATAACTCCTGACCTAGCCACATATCGTATTCTTGTTTGGTTGCAGTCACACCATGCCCATCTCGTGTGACACACACCCCTGTTACCTGGGTACGTGTAACCCCGTTACACTCTCCCCCATTAAGATTGAGAACATTTACAGTTCCAATCGATTATTGCCTCAGCGAGGCTCGCGTGTCCGCTAAACACTGCAATTTTATTCATTGAAATTTAACACCTTCCGTGCTCAATGAGCCCTGTGTTAACGACACTGAAGTCAACAACTCTCGCTGGTTCTGATAGCGCACACGGGTAAAGCCCAACTCCGTCTCCCGCACGCGTGCAATGTCGTACAGTCGAGTCCGCGTCACCGGAGGATGTACTACCTATGCTCGATGGGCACGAGCGTCGCGCTTTGTGCACGCTGTCAATGATGAGTGACCTCGTTGAGGATGCGGAGGTGGATGACTACGAGTCTGACACTCCTTTCCCGCATGGGATGACGAGGAAGGCTAGCTGCGCCAGCGGTGTGATACGAGCCCTGCTCGCGCCTTGCGGACCCCATGTCCGTTTTCTGACTTCTCGTCAACCGAGATACGTGGTGTACTCACCAATGACCTCGACGGGGCTAAGAGGCGGCAGCTGAAGCTGCCCATAAGGCGGCTTTGAAGCGCGCCCATCCACGGCCAGTCATTTACCCTAGTGTGGAATATGGCTTCTGCCCAGCGGATCCCGCTGGGGAAGCAAAGGACGCGATAACTCGATCGTTACGCGTCCACATCTTCGGGCCCCCGGCCATTACAAACGGAAAGACCTTCGAGCTCGTTTCTTGGTTCCACAAGAAATTCTGTTGGAAGTTTATTGTACTCGTCTGAGTGCTCAACGAGGTGGCTCTCGTGTACCCGCAATGCGGACAACACCTGTTGTGCTCACCCTGGCGAAAGCGCTACAGATGACGAAGCGCTCTATGGGCGATGGGTGCAACCGCACCGGAAGCTTTCCTCACTGTATAATTTACAGTTGGGCGACAAGGAACTGGACGTGCGTGTGAAGCGACACTTCCGATTTGAGTTTGCCAAACTCAAGACACGCCGTCGAATTTCTTCAGATTGTCGCCCTGTGACGTACGGGTCAACCCCCAACGCTCCCGCGAGCTCTGTGTCTGCAACCGCAAGAGCTCAGGGCAACTGCTTGAGCTCAGCTCATGGCCCTTCTACTTCCCTAGCTGTTGCCGGGAAGCGCGGGGCGTCCTGATCTTTCCGATTAAAAGCGTCCACGGCGACTGGACAATCTTGCCGAAGTGGCGCCTCAAACTTTCACGAGTTTTCGGAGTCGGAATATCCCCGCCACTTCACCTGATACTGGGTTTGA